GCGGGGAGCTGGAGCTGGCTGAGTGAGCTCGGGCTTCACCCGTGGCGTGGGGCGCAGGTGGCAGGTCGGGCTCCCCCATCTGGCTCTGCAGCCCCCAGCAGAGGAAAAGACTCGGGAGGGTTTCCTCGGAGGCTCTGCAGCCTCCCTCCCCTCGCCCTGGCTGGCCCTTACTCCTTAGTTTCTGACTAGAGCCCAGGACAGCCCCCTGGTCTATAAAGTGCTACCAGACCATTTGTTGTGCTTCCTTTTAGGCAGGGGAGTAAATCCCCTTGCAGTCCATCCCGGCAGGGTTGGAGCTTTTACCTTCAGCACGAACACGTGTGCAGCATCAAGGCCCAGGTGAGGTGTGTGGAGAAAACGCAATGTAAGGCCTTAAAGGAGGGTGCAGGGCTTGCGCAACACAGCTTTTTACTGTAATTGAGGAGCAAGTTAACTGATGGCATAAGCTTGTTTCATAATCTCATAGTTGGTGTTGTACAATACACATTACCCAGCTCAGTCTCGTCTCTTTTGTTTCGTTTTATTTTTTTTCTATTTATACTTTATTTCCTTGGATGCCTCCTCCCCCGTGGGAAAATACATTAATGAAATTGCTGACTAAAATAAAAGTTAAGAAAAATTACTTGTAAATTTTTCATTGTGAAATGGTCGCTCCTTCACCAGGTGGTGTATTGGATTACTCTTTGGACATTTAATTATTTAATTTCTTGTTTATAAAATTAGTAGTCTGGCACTATCGTTTGTTCTTTAGTATCTTTTTATAAGGAAAAAACAAATCTGATTTTTTGTCTTTAAAATGTAATTTAAAATGAGAAATTATTTTTTCTGAAACCTTATGTTATTAATTTTGTATATTTTAAGCTTCCAACATTCCAGCCATGCCTGGAAAAAGGAGAAAAGAAAAGAGCAGCCCTGCTCTAATGCTTTCTATTCTTCAATTGCAGGATCAGGACGTCTGTGCATGGTACAAAATATTGGTTGGGGAATTTATATTTTTACTCTCGACATAGACAACATAAGTATATGAGACCATGGACAGTTTTACAAACATACCAAGAATAGAAGAAGGCACTGATATTGGGCAACAACAAGACAGAGTAGTGACCAAAGAAGAATGGCAGCAAAAATGGACAATGAGAAACATTGGATTTCATAGGGAACAAGTACATCCGTATGTAACTCTTTCTTCTACTTTAGCTGTTTTAAGGTTCAACATATAATGAATGATAATGAAATAATCTGACTTTCAGAAAGCCTGTCATAAAAATGAAGCCTGGGTACAAACATCAAAGTGTATTGTAGTAGCCCTGTTCAAAGCAGCTATAATTATGACTGTTTGAGCTGCCATCAAAAGGATAATGGAAAGATCACTGTGCTTATCAAACTTTTTCATCTTAAATTAGATCTTTAGACCATGAAACTTATGTTCAGTGTGTGTTTTCTGGTGTGAAACACTTTTACAGTATTTATTAATTGTTTTAGACGCCAGTCTTGCATATGCAAAGTAAGTTTAGGTCAAGGTAGTGCACAGCAATTTACCCACATGCTACACATTGCAAGATTTGGCCCTTATACCCAGACTGATTATTCTACTTATGCTGCCCAACTTGAATTATATATAAGAAGTCAATAATGTAGAGAAAATTCAGATGTTTTAGGTTTGTTCAGTTTTAATCATCTAAATTAGCCCTTTCAGAGTTGGGTGCAGCTTTTGTAATCAGTTGCACTGATGCCCACAGGGGTTCCTACATAATTATGATGGTTTTCGCTCCTTTTCCTTATTTTATTTTCCACATCTCACTACTTCTACAGTCTCATTTTCCATAGGCTTCTTGTTAGTTCCCTGTATGTTAATGAACATTTGTCACTTTATCACCATAGTAACAGAAAATCTCTAACATTTCACTCAGGCTGCCAATGGTCATCTTGTGGTATCTGCTGAGCTCTTGTATGTTTTATCCAAATCAGCACTTCTTTTAAAAAATCTGTATATCACAAATATATAGACAAGCTCAGTGAATGTATTATTAACTTAAGTTAGTATAACTTACCCTAAATCCTAAAATGTAATTTGCCTAAACAAAATATTTTACAGCCAAAGGCCTTGTGTTTACAGCATTAATTAATACTTATATTTCACCATTATATCCTATATATACTTCACATCATTTATCCTTCCTTGGCTACACTGGCTTTTCAACTATGAACATGAAACAGTTCCAGTACTAAATAGTTATTTATATTTCTTCTGCAGGATTTTAAGGAAGTATCTGGATGTTCTTCTTAATGGCAGGAGCAGACTCAGGATATTTTTTCCACTTTGTGGCAAAGCGGTAGAAATGAAATGGTAATGCACAGCCCTTAGGAATAGAAATCTTCTAATTTACTTTGAAAGTGTATCATCTGGTCTGTGTATCTGTAAATAAATGAATGTAATATCCTCTATTGTCACCAACATATATTGTTGTTTTGCTTTTACATATTCACCAGAGATTTTTTTTAAAAGGCAGCATTTAATTTGTTCACATTTTCCAGTGATGAGGTAATCGTAACGAACAGTTTGCAAACATTTATGTAGGAAAAAACAACAATTTGGCTGTATAAAAAAATGTGATATTGACAAAAGCAGCTAGGATATACAAGAGTAAGCTGTTTAAGATTTTTGGTTTGGAGAGTCCTGTGTGCCTATTTGGGGTAGTTTGCAGTGGCCCCCCAGCCTACTGCCTGTTCTACTTCCAGCCCGGCCAGTCCCTCCCATTTGCCTCTAGTCTGGCTGGGCTGCCAGATGTGGCTGGGCTTGCTGGACACATTTACCACTGGCCACAGCTCTGCTGCTCTAGTCCCACTGCTAGATGCCGGCTCTGGCCCTGCAGCCAGGTGGCTGTATGCTGGCCCTGACCCAGCTGTCTTGGGCTCTGGCTCTGGCCAGGCTGATGCAGGCTCAGAGGCAGCAGCTGCTCCTCCCTCTCCCCTGCCCTACTGCGGCCCCCACTGCAGCCTTTGTATTAGAAGCAGCAGCACGGTGCGGGATGGGGAGTGGAACCGGTATGCACAGGGAGCCGGCTTTTAAGCCAGTTCCCCATGAGCACTGGCTCCCACAGAGCTGTCTTTCCTCTCCCCCCTTCCACGCTGCTGCCTCTGATACAAAGGCAATTGGAGGGAGGGAGCCAGTGATCAGGGAGAGCTGGCTTAAAAGCAAGCTCCCTGCAAGCACCATCTCCCACCTGTCCTCCCCCGCCCCCTGTGTAAACGTGTAACCACTGAAAAATTTCAGCTGTTACACAGTTACAAAAATTAATGAATTTTAAAATCCCTAATATGCAATAGCAGTAATGTGTACAGTGTAGTAATGCTGAGTCATTCAGGCGTGCAGTATAACGTTGCTAAAAACACATATCATGTAATATGGATCACAGTTACTAAAGACTGCACTGCTATTATTTGGTATGTATAGGTCATTATTCGTCTTTAGTTCAAATTTGGAAAGTTTTCTTCATAACCATAAGCATAAGTGTTTGAGAAAGTGATGGTCTAGCTCAGCGTTTCTTAAACTGTTTTCCATGGCACACCGGTGTGCCGCAAGACAGTCCAAAGTGTATTGCAGAGAAGATAGCCATCTTAAAAGGGGAATCCCTGCGCTTCTGTTCTTCCTTGCTGGATTTGTGCAGGAGACGCCCAGCGCAGCCCGTGGCAACTGCCCAAAACTCTTCCCACTTATATCCACCCAGCCCCACTTCTAGGGAGCACGCTCACCTCCTGCCCTCCCTTCCTCTCCCCCAGCAACTCTCTGTACTTTTGGTACACGCATACGCACGCGCGCTGCTCCGGAGGCTCAAGGGCCGGGCCCAAAGGACCTGAAAAATTAAAAAATAAAAAAATAAAATAAAAAGCAGGAGCTGTCTCTTGGCATTGGACTGCTCAGCTTTAAAAATGAAAGCCGAGGCTAAGTTTGTGATTGAGGGAGGGTGGGGAAAGTGAGAGGAGTGACATCATTAACCCTTCCCCGGGCAGCTGTGAGTGATGCCAGCCCAGCCCCTGCCTGGGGAGAGGGCGGAAAAACTTGGAGGTTGCGTCAGAAGCTTCCATGATGGGGGGCACAATGTTACTTCTTCATTTTTGTTTTCCTGAAAACTTTTTTTTATTATTATTTAATGGATAGCGATTGCCAGGTTTTGTTTGTGTATTTGTGTGTGTGTTTGTTTATAGTTGAAGGCTGCTCACAGACATCCCACAATATACTATTTAAAGTTATTGTAATATAATTTGGGATACTTCAATTTAAAAAGATATGATACTTATTATCATTGGGCAGGGAGTGAATATTGTCCTCAGAAGTAAAAGTGTCATCTGGTCCGGGTTGGATGGTTTGGTTTTTCTTTTTTTTTTTTGCTCAACAAAAAACCCTTGGTGTTCCTCCAAAAAAAAAATTGTTTGGTGTTTCACAGTCTTAAAAAGTTTAAGAAACATTGGTCTATCTCCTCATGCTTCCCAGAGAAAGTTTCTTACTATTCAGAGGCATTTGAGCATTTTCAAACCCTGATGTTGCAATAACTTGAACAGGATGTGAAATATCAAACAAACACTATCTGCTAGGTGATTGAATCCTTTGGCCGTCCACCATGGGAGGGCAATATTATTACTGGCCCCTGTAGTGACCCCATATTTTCCATTAATATAGTCAAAATGAATAATCAATTGCATGTGAGCTTATCAAATTCACACAGAGTGCATTCCTTAATTCATATCAAGAGCTACTCAAATATCCATGCAAAATTAATATCCAACATTTTTTCAATAAAATGAGAAAACTCCAAGATTAAAAATATCCATATACAGGCAGTCCCCGGGTTACGTACAAGATAGGGACTGTAGGTTTGTTCTTAAGTTGAATCTGTATGTAAGTCGGAACTGGCGTCCAGATTCAGCCACTGCTGAAACTAATCAGTTTCAACAGTGGCTGAATCTGGACGCCAGTTCTGACTTGCATACAGATTCAACTTAAGAACCCCAGGCATCCCGAAGTCAGCTGCTGCTGAAACTGATCAGTGGCTGATTCCAGGAAGCCTGGGGCAGGGGCTTCCTGTAGTCAGCCACTGGTCATTTTCAGCAGCTGCTGACTAGGGGACACCTGGGGCAGAGCAGTTGGGGTGCTGCTGGGTTGGTCCAGTGGCACCCAGAGCGGCGCTACGGGACCAACCGGCAGCGCCCCCGC